TTGGGGTAGAGAGTATATGGGCTCTGATTGGGTATATGGGCTCTGATTGGTGTAGAGACTGGTATATGGGCTCTGATTGGTGTAGAGACTGGTATATGGGCTCTGATTGGTGTAGAGACTGGTATATGGGCTCTGATTGGTGTAGAGACTGGTATATGGGCTCTGATTGGTGTAGAGACTGGTATATAGGCTCTGATTAGAGACTGGTATATAGAGACTGGTATATGGTGATATGGGCTCTGATTGGTGGGTGATTGGTGTAGAGACTGGTATATGGGCTCTGATTGGGGCAGAGACTGGTATATGGGCTCTGATTCATTCAAGACCATAGTTTCTATTTCATTAATGGTCAGTTTGCCACAATGCAGAACAGTTTTTCTTGAATGTTGCAGATTACATATGAGATAATTGAAAACATATATCAAAGTGATTGAAATAACAATAATTGTTTTGAAGTGACTAGGGCTAGTTGATCAGTGGGACAGGACTGGTGGGACCTCTTGAACATACTGTTCATCTGCTGTTCAAACCTAAAGTTATATTTTTATCATGCGAAGGATTCCAAACAAGTGCCCATGAAAGACAAATTTATAAATATAAAGTTCAAATTAGAATTTGTGGAAGTTAATTTTTCTAGATTCAAATGTTATTTAACATTGCATTCAATGCAATAATGTAAATACTGGGAAATCAGTAACTACCATTTGGGATATTTTTGTGATGTTTGCCTGAGAGCAGGTGCAGATTATGTCAGGTTCATCCGTCTGCCTTGGTGTTGCCTTGTCTTCACATACTGTCGTATTATAAAGCGGAGACTGAATCTCGTCTCTATCATATCTGACATTATGAGTACTGTTTTATTTACATCATGTATATGCCTGTGTCATAATGCAAATAAAGATTTTATCTGGAAAATTTGTCTGTCTACATGAAAAATAATCGTGGCTGTGAATTTGTAATTACGGTGTCTTTCTTTGAAGATGAAAGCTTTTCAACAGATCAAGATGTCAGGCAGAATGTATGGAGTTGTTTTTCACATGCCTTCAGAATGGATTACTTTATTTATTTTATTGAGAGAGGGATTTTCAAAGAATTGTATTAAATTTCTCTAATCCAGCTTGTTCATTTGCAAACCAGATTTCATTTGATCCTTCGTGGAGGTCATTGCATTTGCTGATATTGATGTATGAATTAATTACAGTGTCAATATTCATGTCCATTTATGATTATTGACACTACATTAATGATTTACTGCCACAGAAATATTTACATTTGTCGACAATGATGCTTGATATACAAAGAGAAGGCAGAAAATTCACATTGGTGGATCATCCTGGTTCACGTTTAGCGTAAAGTTGATTAATTGCAGTGAAAACAACACTTTTATTAGCCGCACACACATGGACAAATAAAGTCATTTTGTTGTTGGTTCAATCAATCCATCAATAATTAGACTGTCCAATTAAAAGCCCCTTACTTAAAACAGAATTAATCTGTGTTTTCATCTAGAAAGTGATTGATTTTATTCGTAAGAAAAGCAAAGTTATTGGAATATGTTTAATAAGCCATCATTCAGGAGATAATATGTCTATTAAACTAGAGCAGGCAACACATCTGTTTCCTGAAATATTTCCGTTGTCATGGTAGCTCTTTCCTCCTTTAAACTTCGTTGCTTTTAGCTGTTTGAAACCTTAACTGAGTGTAAGCATGGGGTGTGTCAGCATGTAGTTGGGTAGCCCTGCGGACAGGGCACTTCCTCATCATAGATGGTCTAAGGTTTGAGCCTAAGTAGGCAAATAAAGTAGGGTGGGTGAATGCTTGTCAATGTCACACATCACAGTGTCCCTGTCATGGGAGGCCTGTCAGTGTCCCCATTACAGTGTCCCTGTCATGGGAGGCCTGTCACAGTGTCCCTGTCACGGGAGTCCTGTCAGTGTCCCCATCACAGTGTCCCTGTCATGGGAGTCCTGTCAGTGTCCCCATTACAGTGTCCCTGTCATGGGAGTCCTGTCAGTGTCACACATCACAGTGTCCCTGTCATGGGAGTCCTGTCAGTGTCCCCATCACAGTGTCCCTGTCATGGGAGTCCTGTCAGTGTCACACATCACAGTGTCCCTGTCATGGGAGGCCTGTCAGTGTCCTCATCACAGTGTCCCTGTCATGGGAGGCCTGTCACAGTGTCCCTGTCACGGGAGTCCTCACAGTGTCCCTGTCACGGGAGTCCTGTCAGCGCCCCCATCACAGTGTCCCTGTCATGGGAGTCCTGACAGTGTCCCCGTCACAGTGTCCCTGTCATGGGAGGCCTGTCAGTGCCCCCATCACAGTGTCCCTGTCACGGGAGGCGTCAGTGCCCCCATCACAGTGTCCCTGCCACGGGAGGCCTGTCAGTGCCCCCATCACAGTGTCCCTGTCACGGGAGGCCTGTCAGTGCCCCCATCACAGTGTCCCTGTCACGGGAGGCCTGTCAGTGCCCCCCATCACAGTGTCCCTGTCACGGGAGGCCTGTCAGTGCCCCCATCACAGTGTCCCTGTCACGGGAGGCCTGTCAGTGCCCCCATCACAGTGTCCCTGTCACGGGAGGCCTGTCAGTGCCCCCATCACAGTGTCCCTGTCACAGGAGGCCTGTCAGTGCCCCCATCACAGTGTCCCTGTCACGGGAGGCCTGTCAGTGCCCCCATCACAGTGTCCCTGTCATTGGAGGCCTGTCAGTGTCCCCATCACAGTGTCCCTGTCACGGGAGGCCTGTCAGTGCCCCCATCACAGTGTCCCTGTCATGGGAGGCCTGTCAGTGCCCCCATCACAGTGTCTCTGTCATGGGAGGCCTGTCAGTGCCCCCATCACAATGTCCCTGTCACGGGAGGCCTGTCAGTGCCCCCATCACAGTGTCCCTGTCACGGGAGGCCTGTCAGTGCCCCCATCAGTGTCCCTGTCACAGGAGGCCTGTCAGTGCCCCCATCACAATGTCCCTGTCACGGGAGTCCTGTCAGTGCCCCCATCACAGTGTTTCTGTCAGTGCCCCCATCACAGTGTTCCTGTCACGGGAGGCCTGTCAGTGCCCCCATCACAGTGTCCCTGTCACGGGAGTCCTGTCAGTGCCCCCATCACAGTGTCCCTGTCACGGGAGGCCTGTCAGTGCCCCCATCACAGTGGGTTGTAAGCGTTTGATTCTGGCCTAAGGAAAGCAGCAGTAGTAGATGGTATCAGCATCCGTTCAGCGGTCCTGGTCAAGCTGACGTCTATGTGCCTGTGTGGTAGTCGTGGCAACACACCACCCTTGTTCTGTATAATAAATACCCGGACACCACGGCTCCATTCAGGTCGTGAAGTCATGATCTTTGCCTCTCCTGTCCAGCTCATGTGTAGATTTATTTGAGGGCTGTTTTCAGCATCATGTCCTTAGATTCAAACCTAGCATAAAGCTCCAGGGACCGAGGGCTAGCAAACATAGATTTTGTTACTGGATAACTGAAGATGTACATGAAGATATGTAGTGTGTAATTCAGCTTGCCAAGCTGTAATACTGACTCGGCCTATCTTTATAGACAAATCTAAGAGCACTCCATACTTATCACCCACTCTACATGACATTCTGTTCCTTGTGTGTATTGTAGATCATTTATAGAGAACAGCACAGTGTTGAAATACCCACTAACAGTAAACACTAAACCTTCAGTTTCATTGACATTTGAACTTTCATTCTCCACTGCTCGGAGACCCATGAACATCTGGGTTAGAATTGGTCTTCAGCAACCCATGCTTGTCGTAAGAGGTGATTTAACAGGATCGGGTGGCCAGGTTCGCTGACTTGGTTGACACATCATATATCCCAATTGTGTAGATCGATGCTCACACCAGGGATCCAGATATTTTTTCACTACAGGAGTACTGGAAAACCTTAAGAGTACATTTAGAGTACTGAGTGGAATTTAATGGAGTATCAGTAATCTTGTGTTTCGTTTCATATATGCACCACAACATTGATAGTCTTGTGTAAACAGGTCAATAAACAATAAACCAATATTTTTTTCAGATAAATAAGTCTGTAAATGATTCTAAGACCATACACCATTGCTGTGGTGCGTACCTGCTACCTTTTCTAAAATATTTGCTACCGTATCGTGCATATTTTGTTTCTGTACATACGCCGATACGGCCCTTATCTGGAGCCCTGCTCACACTGTTGATCACTAAATTGTCTGGCCCAGATTCAATTGTTTACAGGCCGCTGCCATATAGCTGGAATATTGTGCTGTGTTAAACACAGTGTTTGCCCTTAACCCTAAAAAAAAGGTGCAGGCCTTAAGGACCCAGAACCATAAACAGTTGTGGGTCCTGATCAGAATGTGTAGGCCCTATATTTTAGCTACAAGATAATTCCCAGCAAACAAGGCCATGAGGACCTGCAGAAAACAGAAGCTGTGGGTAAGAGTGGTTTTCAGTCGGCTCCACACCAAAGGACCAACATTAATTTCGAACGCTGGTTATACGACAACCAAGCATCCAACCACTGCTTGGACAACACATTTAACTTAAGCTGGTCTGACAAGTCCTCCCATCTTCCATCGTTTTCAAGATGGTCAGTTTCTAAGTGTCCGAATTTTGCTGAGCTACACACCCATGTGTTGGTTTGGCTGAACATATCAATAAAACAACAACAGCACAGTCTGACTGGATGAAGTATATTGATCATGGATATACATATAATATGTGAAACAGCTTGAAATCTGTAAATATTGCAAGTGTATCATTAAATATGTCGAAAACTAATCCGTTGTACAAACTTACACAATATGATTGAAAGCTAAATACAATGTATCAACTTGTAGCATAAGATGCAATAAAATATATGCTGCAAAATAATATTTACATAAATGTTTTATGTACATAAGTAGCTTAGTACGTTCTAACATCAACAAAACAAGGTATTTTATGGTGTTGCCATGGTAACATCAATACTCAAGGTTGCCATGGTAACATCAATACATGCCTTCTCAAAAGAAGCATGTAAACATCTTAATGACAAAATGTTACAGATAACTAAGAAAACAACTAGAAAGTAAAATTTCTGAACGAAAATAAATACTGATTCAGGTTTGATAGCCAGTTTGGCAGTTACGAGTCTCTACTGGCCGATCAGTCTGGAGGTATTTGCTCAGGAAAGTAACCAGCAATATTATCAAATTTGATTCATTATATCAACGTTAAAAGTACTAGTACTGCATACCGAAATGTACAACAGTACTGATACTGAATGCTGAAATATATCATATTCATGGACAGAACTTAATTAAAACAAACTTTGGACAATACGTCAATACAAATTAAAGTGTGACATGAGAGCCTGGTATTGTCTTGGAGAGATCTGATTGGTCAGTCCTGATCCTGCAGGAACTGGTCCTCCGCCTCTGCCACCACTGCCTCAGGACTGTCCAACTTCACCTGAAGAGAAGGGTCACATGGTCACCTCAGACAACGTACAGAGATTGAGTAGAGACAAGAAATTACACAAGACAGTACAAGCTCAATGATGTCCAATGATGTATATAACATATGTTATATTTGGGATTACACTTATTATTAAAGTACAGATTCTAGTACTTTTGTTGGACAGAGTTCCATTCGAACCCACACCCCCGAGTCAGGCACCTAATCGCCAGTACACAAAGTCAGCTGTCTAACCCACTCAGCCAGTCCAGCTTCCACAAAAACGGAAGTCAGACAACTGGCAGTCTAGACCATAGACTTTGTGTACCCCTCTGATAAGTGTAAATTGGCACGGCTCCCACAGCCGAAAGCTATGAATACACAATGCCATTTAGAAAGTGGTCAAAAGTAACACGTTATATTTGGGATTACACTAGCTCAGTAAAGTACAGATTCTAGTACTTTTGTTGGGTTGAGTTCCATCAGGGATTCAAACCCACACCCTCGGGAGTCGGGCACCTAATCGCCAGCACACAAAGTCATTTATTGTCATTAATTTGTCACCACTGGTAATTCATCCATAGGACCGCCTCTGAGGTGTAGTGGTTAGAGCGTCCGCCCAGAGAGCGGAAGGTCGCGGGTTTGATCCCCGGCCGCGTCATACCAAAAGACGTTAAAATATGGTACTTGTTGGTTCCTGTGTGGCACTCGGCATTAATGGGTACAACAAAGACTGGTCGGCTCGGGAGTCAGTATAACGTGTCTGAGTGGGGTATTCATGCTTCACTGCGGCATGGTATCTCAGTGGGCTAGCACTATAAAACCAGCTTCAGTCTGGGCTAGTACAAGCAGCCACACATACGTTGTCATATGAACGAAATAGTCTTAAGCATGACATTCAACCCCATTTCACCTCACCTCACCTAATTCATCTATATATTCCACATTACCATTTAAGATTTGTTTGTGCTTGTTGACTGCCTCACTTATAATTATACCAGCTTTATGAAGGCAGTTGGTGAGTAGACATTCACAGTTTGCCCACTTGAGCTATTTTGTCGCCACTTATGTCAAGCAAGGATTGTTAGAGACCTGTCTTCTCCCTCAGTCCCAATAGGGAGCTGTTTGGGAAATAAACATTCTAGAAAATAAGAACTGGCTAAATCTGGTATTGACGATGGGGGTGAATTCCTAACAGTAAATTGTAAAGCCTTCACTTTGCTCTCTGTGAACACAGAAGAAAGTGCCTACCTACCTCTGGTATCGGGTACTGTGTTGGTACGGGGGCGCCATCACGGCCGTAGTCCTGCATGGTGCCACATTTAGGGACATTGTCCACCCACACACCCTCAAACACCTGGCCAGTGTTCAGGTAGTAGAATTTACCAGGACCGTTCTTCTTGCCGTCCTTCCAGGAACCCTCGTACCTGTTCTCATTGGCTGCAAGAAATGGAATTGTCCATTACCAAATAAGCTGAATGTGATAGTTTATTGCTGAAGCTGAAGTTAGTATTGCAACAGAGTCAAGACAAATACCACGAACTTGCATTCATTTACAAATATGTCTGGACTACCAAGCAAAAAAATAACATGTATAGCTTACAACAGAAACAAATAAATATTTGGTTACATGTGTTGTGTCATTCACTACCACTGTCAGCAATGCAGGGTGTCATGTCTCTGACATGTTCACTTGGTGATAACAGTCAGTTTCACCAACACTTCCGACCTACATGTTTCTGTCCCCAATACTTACTTTGTCGAAGCATGCCTTGTCCGCTCCTGAGGTCATCATACCACTCCCCCTCGTAGATGGTGCCATCCTGGAAGTACATCCTTCCCCAGCCGCTCCGCTTGTCTGCGTACCACTCCCCCTCGTAGTACTCATTGTCCGCATAAAATTGGGTTCCATAAGCCTGGGGATGTGAGATGACAATATGGACATACAATATACACCAAGTCAAGGTATCAATGAAATATCACAACATATACACATGAAAAACACAGAGTCTGCATAGTCAGGTTTGGGGACAAATCAGGTCATTCTTGGACAAGCCAGATCGTTTTAGTGAGTGAGTGAGTTTGGTTTTACGCCGCTTTTAGCAATATTCCAGGAATATCACGGCGGGGGACACCAGAAATGGGCTTCACACATTGCACCCATGTGGGGAATCGAACCCGGGTCTTCAGCATGTCGAGCGGACGCTTTAACCATTAGGCTACCCCACCGCCCCAGATCGTTTTAGAGATTGTGACAAATTATTTGGTCAAAGAATGGTGCGACCCTAAAAATTCCTATTAAAAATTAAATCTTTGGAAGTATTATAAGTAAACATATTATCTTCCAAAATCATATCCATAACACCAAACATATCTAGTAATATTCAGAGAAAGCCATCACTGAATAGATATTTACAGGTATCTTCAGTTATGAGTTTTATTCTGTCAATTACTGCAAGCTTCACACTTACATGTCTCATATCGTTCTTCCAGCCTCCTGAGTAATCTTTCCTGAAGCCGCCCTTCCCGTCTGGGTAGCTAAAGGTGCCAAAACCATTCCTCTTCCCCTTCTTCCAGTCTCCATCATACAGGGCACCTGTTGCCTTCCATTTATATGTGCCTTTCCCTGAAACACACAGGTTGAACAGCTGATGTGCAAGTCTGGTCACTGGACTATCACAAGCAGTGTGCACACATTGAGTGTATGCACCGTTGTGATATATTTATAAGAAGGAAAAGGAAAGAAGAAAAACAAGAAACAAATTATAACTTGGAATTTTCCTAACACAAACTAGATCCAATAACACATAACTGTCCGTGTAGATCTTTTCATTCTTCAAATATCCAACATGTGAATCTGAATACACAGTGCGTGACGACAGACATTGCTAATTTTATAAAATATGCCTCCACATTGTTTTAAGCACATAAATTTACGTTGTCTAAAAACGATTGGCAATAAGAATAACAATTAGATTTAAGGGACCGTTCATAATTTATGGCTGATGATGATTTTTCTGTAGAAGCATGCACAAAATCAATGACACCCCAACCCCCAAGTATATGTGTACAAAGTTGATTACAACACCTCCCCAAAAGTAAAATGCGCCCCCCACCCCACCCCTAAATATATAATTTATACAGTATACAGTTTACCTTTGAAAAAAAACACCATTGTGTAATAAGATTGTTTGATTTTTTACAAACAAATCTTCCTTTTACAAAAGTCAAGTCGCAATCAAATTTTCATAATGCACATTATCTCACCATCTTTCTTGTTGTTCAGCCATTCCCCGGTATATTCATCACCGTTAACTGAATACACGGTGTGACGAACCCCCTTTTTCTGGGCATTGTAGTCCCATTCTTTCCACAAAGGTTCCCTTGGTTTGGGCTCTTTTAAATGCGGCATATTTATACAATATTGATGCTGACCATATGAAATATGCAACGGGTTTACTGAGCGAGGTCTTGCATGTTGTGTTTATTTCCGATGACGCCAATGTGCGCATGCACTGCTTCACTGTTACCATGACTGCACTTCCGACAAGGGGAATAACTCGTACCACTCAAATCATTCACTCGACGAAATAAGAAGCTTATCGTAAATAAAATCCCCCATATAATTTTAAACTTTCCGATACTTTCATTTACGCAGTGACAATGCTTATCGAAATCCATATAATTCATCGATATAATTTATTGATGTTACAGTTCTCACAAAAGTTTATTCATTTCCAAGTTATATGCATGCATATCTAGGCTATGTTTCTGAAAAAGGACCAAATAGTTTTAATTTCATAGGAAATCCTAATTTATCGTTATCTGTATCAAATAGTGTCTGTAGTTCCCTGCGATGATAGTTAAACAAGGACGATCTTTGTAAACTTGTGTTATGGTTAATTATGAAACAATTAAGAAATCTGGGAACAAAGTGCGATTAAACATATGTGACATATCTATGTAATATCGACATCATCCTGTTCCGAATGCTGAGGAAATAATTGTGATGAGTAAGACGAACATATTTAGAAAAAGACGACATTCTTGGCAAAAGTTGTATGAAGTGCGGACTGATAATCATAATGATAAATTGTAAACGTGATAGTTGTTACTTGTGTCTGAAAGTTCTTGTATATCCACATTTATCGCGTGTGTGCGTGTGTGTGAGTGTGTGTGATAGCCATTATGGACGCTGTGTTTCAATAGACTTGATTCCCCATTTTCATTTTGGATTTCCTAATCTGATTCGATCTGCTCACACCAACTGTATACTTGTTATCCTCTAGTATCCTATGAACCATACCTCCATTTTTTCCCATTATTTAAATGTGCCAAAGCCAATACATTCAACATCGCATTTAGTGACGTCATCAGAGTAATAAACGATTGAGTCGGATCAGGCAATCCGATGATTGATACCGTGCGAAACAAACCATGACGTCATGAAAGCAGTATGTGTTTACAGTTGTATCTACACTATGATAACTCACACTGGCATCACAAACATAGGGCAAACATTCTGTTGTAAGTGGATGCAGGCATTGAATGGCATCGTATACCTTCGTTGGGATGCTTTTAAACATCATATACATACATACAAAAATAATCCATAATGAACTATTTTCATATTTCATTCAGTTCCCAATGCAACACAGTATACTTGTATTATAAGATTGTTTTATAAATAGAAATTATTCTTCATACATACATATTTTATGGTTTAAGGATAAAAATTTGTTCTAATATTGATATTAATGCGTTTAATGTCCAAACGCAGACCTGCAATTTGCTGTTTATGATTAATGGGCCAGATGGCCTACATTTCCAGAATATAAACCTATCACACACATAATTATTCATAGCCAATGTAATGTCTTTGGTATACTTCCCCTTCAAAACACGTTGCACATTTGTCACAGTGATGTCGCTTGTTGTAATCAAGTTTGACTTACCTAACATGTGACTGGCATACAGTTTACCTGCTTACATCACAGACTGCTGTAAATATAGATACCAGCTGGTACCGTGTAGTCTGGTCTGTCTATCAACCTAGGATACCTATTAACCAAGAGTACCTATCAACCTAGGATACCTATCAACCAAGGGTACCTATCAACCAAGGGTACCTATTAACCAAGGGTACCTATCAACCTATTACTTCCGCGGTTATGTGGCCATGAAACCAGCTGTTCCAAAAACCCATGCTTGACTAAAAATAGCGTTTCCCAAAGTAATTGTAGAATAAGATGTAGTGCCCCTCGAGGGCTGCTGTGTAGTGGTGCTCCGATTAATTGAAATAATAGATGATTGGTCGCAGTGACCAAACGACCAAGCAATCGATCACATTTTCTCATAATCGAACACAAACGACTTTGGAAATACTGTTTTAGTCTTTGAAACACTTGTCGATGGAACATGTCTTCGAGGTTGTCAGGGCCTGGAAACATGTTTAATTCTTAGAAAACTCACTTCACTAACTCAAACGTCATGACTGAATATTTGTTGAAGTTTATGTTCATGATATATTAGTCATTACTGTAAAGTAGAAAGCTGCATCATAGTATACTTACTAGTATCTGCAATAACAACCTGAATAGGAAAATCTGAGAAATGACGCTAGCCAATTTTTTTGCATGATTTCTCGTTGGTAACGAAGCAATCATCAATTGTGAGATTTCAACCCCGACACTACTGCTGTGACAGTTACGTCACAGCAAGCCAGGGGAGGTAATCCCAAACATTACTGGAATCGAGGATTGTTATGGAAATGTTTTGACGATCGAACTTTTTCCGAATTTTAACTGAATTGATCATGAACAAAAAGGGCAATCGTCTGCGAAGTTAGAAGTGTGTGTTGGAAGAGACAGTGAATGAGTGCGTCAGTTAACTGGGTTCAATTTTCTTTAAGCAGTATTTCACTTCTAACAAATACAAGTCATAGATAACACCACTCTGTATCTGTATGAGATCAGCGGACCCTGGCGCCACAAAGGGACATCAGCGAATTGAGTAGCTTTAACCATTGGACCACCCGTGCCCGATCAAGGACAAGATTTCTTTAGGAATTATTTTTTTTATTGAAGTCGTCTGAACAATAAGCACATTGAATAACGGTAACAATAACAAGAGAAATACAAAAATATACTTGTTATATTAATGCGAATTGTAAACAGTACAAATATCTGAAAATGCAAACACGATCACCAGTAGAGAGTGAAACTAGTCGTCAGACAGGGAGTTGAAGGAACCCAAGGGCGCAAATCAACATCGTAAGCTTTTGGTTATTACGAGGAGAAAACGTGTCTTCTGAAACTGTCAAAACAAACAGAATACATTTTTTAAATGTATTTGAAATAAACATCGTTCAGTCACATGCAGTCACGTATCGCCTACATAACAACAAACACGACGAGGCTATGACACATTTTAACATCAGACGTAATGCCATTGTATTGGGTGTGGGCGTGCCGCTTAAATTTACTTAGAGTTAACCTACACCCATACCTATACATATATACACCTATACCCATCGGAAATCCTAGATTTCTTAACAATCAGTTCATAAAAAACAAAACAAAGAAATAAATCGGGCTCTTTTCTATCGTATACTAAAAAAAATCTCACAAAGAAAATTTGTATGATTTTCATTTTATGAAACTAACTGTTAGTATCAATATTTGTATCACAGAAACAAAACTTCCGGTCTGCGTGCATTCCAATCTGTCGCCCATAGTGATCGGACAAATGCGAGAAACAAAAGAGTGTCAGCCATCAGCTTCACACATAACGACAGAACAGATTGCTCTCCTGATCAAGTAAACACCGCTCAGTTCTTCTTTACGAAGAGCTGACGTAACCGTTAACAGGAGATTGGAGAACGTCGCCTCCAAGCGTACATCGAAACTCGGAAAACCTGGTCCAGGAAACATTGCTGCAATCAACGCCATTCGGAACATGAGCCATGTTATCACAAACTCCGTTTATCCGGACGATATATATTATAACTGAAAACGGGATTATGCGGTCTAACGGGTTCACGGGTCTGAATGTAACCATCCTTCACGCACTGCATCTCGTCACGGACAAGCGGTCCAACGCTAAACATTCCCCACATCTGTATATTTGAACCAATGCGTTTTGTACCGCCCACATATAGGGCGAAGAGTGCAAAAGCATTGAGTTTTGTTTGTCAAGGGAATAATATACTATTTTGTAAAAACACGTCTTGACATGTGCTGCGCGGTTTTCTACTTTCCAGTCCAGACGTCACGTGACGCCACGACAAAACGTCTTTACTCGTTACCCAACAGGAGGAAAAGGTGCTCATAGTTCACAATTGCACAACTTCAGAAATAAATGCTTCTCTTCGCATATCGCATCTGTACATCTAGACTAACGCTTAGTCTCTGAATATATATAATTTTGATAGTAACAAACAAACCCATTTAAATTGAAAAGGGGCCCCAGGGAGACCAGAAATTCAGAACCTGAGGAAATCTAGACTTGCTTCATTTAGGGCTTTAGCACTGCAGAGAGAGCTTGGCGGTAGGGAAAATAATGTGGTTCAGGGACTGTGAAACAGGCGACTGGACAACAACCAAATACGTTTTGTATCGTTAGGAAGTGTACGAATCTGAACACATAGTGCCTTACAGACGGTGCAGGTCAAATGCAGCATGTTATATTTGGGATTACACTTTCTCAGTTAAGTACTGATTCTTGTATTTTCGGGGGGGGGGGGGGGAGGTTCCATCTAGGATTCATTCCAGAGATAGATACCGGCTGGATTTGAGAGACTTCACTACTGTTTGTCTATCTACTGAAAATCACCCCAAAAATTTAATTTGCTTGACACAAATGACTGATACTGATCAAGTTAATAGTGAGTGAGTATGGTTTTACGCCGCATGTAGCAATATCCCAGCAATGTCGGCGCGGGGTACCAGAAATGGGCTTCACACATCGGCCAAAGTGGGGAATCGAACCCGGGTCTTCGGCGTGACAAGCTACCGTTTGATCCACTAGGCTACCCAACCGCCCCTTTATGTTCATAACATTACAGATAATGATATTGAGAGACAGCTGTGTTTATGAGGTATCGGACACTCAAAACGGAAAATACACTGGCGGTATATAACGGCTGATATACATCTTTAAAGGAAGGTTCTCGCCTACTGGTGGTGCAGGGAATATCAATATGCAGTAATTCTGACATACGTTAAAATGGTATGCGCATAGGTCCAAGGCTGGTGAGCATATTTAAAGTTAGTTCCAGAATGAGAGACAGTCACCCAGTCATGATGTCATTCCAGAGACCATATAATATATTATATTATATGTGTGAAGTCCTCTGTCTTCACGTTCAGGCATGTGTTATGATATTCCACATGTGGTTATGTAGTACAATACAACGAGAGGTCGATACATTGCAACAGGCTGCTGGTATATAATAACACCTATAATATTTCATCTGGTAAATGTCAATATTGTCAACACAGCCCCTCTCCAAATAGCGCGGACACATAGCACCAGGCCACATGAGGACTGACGCCATTTCCTTTCAGAAAAATTGTTTTGCTTGATAACATACAACTGAACAATAGTTAATGATTCATTCCTATTACCAGCTAAAATAACTTAATAACTATCGAAATATGAAAGAATTGGGACACCCGTAACCCTGTTAATTAGTGTAACTCTAATGTTTCGTTCTATAGATCCTCCGGCGAAAGATTCCAAAATATGAATTGTCTCTTTCTTCAGTGATCAGAGATAACACGTATACCTCTCTTTTAACTTGATAACATTTAATCAACCTATTTGGACTTTCTAGTTTTACTTGACAATGGTTTTGATTTCTTCTACTAGAAACTCATTCCAACGCAGTGGTTTTTGATTGTCAACGGTTGTAACAGAACTTGTCAGTGTTACAGTAGCTGTACGATTATGTCGGTGTGTCTTGGGCCGCAGCGTTGCGGTGCCCGGTACAGTTACACGTACAAAACTGTACAAACATGAAACAAAACAAACACCCAATCAAATCATCATAACACAGAGGCATATAGATTAAGTTTAGAAAGCTTATGTTTAAAAAAGAACAAATGAGATTTTGAGACGTCCCCTGGGACTGTACAAAATTCGGAAAGCTAATTGGGCAGTTACATCATTGCGACATGAATAATGTCAAACAGTTATAGTGTCATGTGATGCTGACAGGTGCCCCTTGGGGGAATTCAAAACAGAAGGGAAAGTTGTCTCCCTGCTCACTTGACGTGACTATCATGACAATTTCTAACATGATTCTATTTGCCGCTACTTAAAACAACTACAGCACCAGGTTGATAAAACTTTGGTAATCTGAAAACACTCAATCAAAATTACAACCGAAATATTGTATGTGAACTGTTCGGTTCCTCGTACTGTCTTCGCGGAGTGGGAGATTCTTTGCCACATGCTAGTCATTGATAATACCTTCACATACCGTGTGGGAGAACCCTGTGGTAAAAGTGAGTACAGTTTTAAACCGCTTTAGCAACATTACTGAGGTGAGGTGAAATTGGGTTTAACGTCGTGCTTGGGAATATTTCGCTCATATGACGACGTGCATGCGTGTGTATGTGTAGCTGCTTGTACTAGCCCAGATTGAAGCTGGTTCTATAGTGCCAGCCCACTTAGTTACCATGCCGCAGTGAAGCATGAATACCCCACTCAGACACATTATACTGACTCCGAGCCGACCAGTCCTTGTTGTACCCATTAATGCCGAGCGCCAGGCAGGGACCAACAAGTACCATATTTTAACGTCTTTTGGTACGACGCGGTCGGGGATCAAACCCGCGACCTTCCGCTCTCCGGGCGGACGCTCAAACCACTACACCACGGATGTGGTCGCAACATTAATGGCACAACAGAAACAGACTTGACATATTACATCGCTTTAACCACTAGGCTACCCCACCTGGTTGAAGACGGACACTGATCGACTCCCACGTCAGCTGATAAAGCTCATACTGTATATTTTACTGCATTTACATAATTAGAAATTTTACGTAATGTTTTTATCTTATCAGTTGACAGATCCGCGAGTAATTAAATGCCCAAAATACATGTACTTGCAAACGTAACATTGCATCCCTTTAAATGATGTACAGCATCGTACTGATGTAGTGATGGCTACCGATCGTTTCTCACCAGGAAACTTGTCGTGCAAGAAACTCCGTCAGCGAAGGAGGACACGGAAGCCAGATTACCCTCCCACAGTCCTGGGGGATAATCCCACACTTCATACAGTCCTGGGGGATAATCCCACACTTCATACAGTCCTGGGGGAATAATCCCACACTTCATACAGTCCTAGGGAAGAATCGCACAACGCACTCTGCTGAACTGTCTGGCAGATACTGACTTACATGTATGAATATGTCATTATCACAATAATCCAACACGACAACATGATAGGCCACCTCTCGTTGTCCAGGTATTAGACAATACAACTGGTTCCATATCGCTCTATCCAACTGCCACACTTACAACATCCAAAATAATCCAGGATAATATATCTCTACTGGGCTCATACACAACCACAGCTTCGTTTTCAACCCAATGCCAAAAGCACGACGCTAAAAATAGCCCTCCATTCAATTGACTGGAAAGTGCGAGGGAAATTCTGTGCTAAGCTTGCAATTGGAGCGATAGACACGACAGGTCTCTTTCGACATAAAGCTTTGCGGCGAGTTGGTCCTGAGCATATATCCATATGACACACTTTGCTGGATAATCGAGGGTGCATTTAATGAAATAAATGCTAAAAAGAGTTCCCCCAAAATATCGGGGTCTGGATTTGATAAAATTATGAATTGTTTTCCTTGAAACCAACCTCACTATACATTGTTTAAGTCCGAGGTATCCAGAGCCGTGGCCAAAGTCTCTATCTCCCGCAGTCCTTCTGAATGTCTCTCATACTTATGCGCTATGAGTTTCTTGTAGAACACCAAGGAGAAGGCGATGAACAGAATCCCGGCAGGGATCACAATGACGGTGGAGGCGATTGCTGCGTTTCTACTGACGTTGAGGAACTTTACCCAGGACAGGATGGCGATCTCGGCCAGGAAGAGAAGAATACCCAGTCCAGTAGAGCACACCCACGCCACCTCGATAGACCATCTCATCTTCTCGTGGGGAGACTCCTGCACGGCGTTCACGTTGTGGACGTTGCTAACGGCCTCGATGTTCGGGAGAATGCACGTGCTGATCATGAGCGCCATGAGATGGACGGTGACCAGCAACGTTGTGCAGATGCCGAAGATGACGAGGACGACGTCGGGGATCTTTTGCCCGTTTGAAGGGTCAATCTGTACTTCAACCATAGCTACCTGGGAAGGAAAAAAGCAAGGTGAGTGTTAGTTGACTTGACAAGTGTTCCACATATACCATGGCGTTTCAGCTGAATGTATGAAAGGTGGGTAGGGTAGCCTTGTGGACAAATCGTTCGTTCGTCACGCCGAAGAAACGGGTTCGATTCCCCACATGGGTACAATGTGTGAACCAATTTTGTATGCCCTTCCCATGTAGTAGTGCTGGGGCATTGCTAAAAGTGGAGTGAAACCTTACTCACTCAGGAAGGTATTTACTAGAGGTGACTACTGAAGGGAAAACAGCTTTTGCGATAGCGATAGTGTATTGTGACCAACTATTGCAATACGATCACTCTCCACTATACCATGGATGCATCCACGGCTTGGCCCGATGATTACATTACCTCCCTTTGCTGGCTGCGCATACTGACAGTAGCCAATCAGCTAAGCCGCCGTTACATCCGAGCTTGCCAGTGTCGCAGTCGCGAAGGTTTGTTCGCAGTGCCACTCAGATTTTTGAGGAAATAATACAGACAAATTGACAGATCTGAAAAAATATATAAAAGAACTCCTTCTACCTCTTTCAGAGTACCTCTGCTGTGTTGCCAAGTTTAAACGTTTAGATAATTTAAGAAGCGAAAGTGAATTGTGATTGGTTCGCTCAACTTCCCAGCGTAGACATCCGATTGGATAAAAAGCCAGCCAAGGGAGGTAATAAAATCATCGGGCCAAGCCGTGGATGCATCCAGGGTATAGTGGAGAGTTTATCGTAAGGTATACCCTGGAGATTATCGAGAAAGGATTTCCTCAGGTTCTTCCATATCACTGGGGTTCCTTTTTCAATTTAAAGGATTATCAACAACATCGGATAATGATTGAGTCTTTGACATAAAACAAGAGACATGCCAACAGTACATGGCAGTGTCAGAATATACAGTAATCGACCAATAATTAGAAATAACAGCTGGAGAGGTCTGTTGTTTTATCTATTCAGTGTTCATTGCAGGCAGATGGGGTGACATATCCTTGACCTCTGTTGATTGTGTGCTTGTGTTGCCGGAACTGCTTCTCTTAGTTTTCGTTTAGTGATGTCACGGAACACGGATTTGTGCACTGTACGAGATGGTGTGATAAGGTCAGAGAATGTTTGGTTGATTTCCGATCTGACTTGGTGGTAGATGTTGTATTTCTCTCCCGTTGACGATCATGGGGCTGTAACCTGGCATTGGCATTATATTTTTTTAAATGTCGTCTGTTTCTAGAGGCTGTATTACATTGGCATTTCATCTGTGAAATATGAATATTTTAAGATATATTGTCATTTATCTTTTAAGAAATAATAGAAACAATAGAATCGGGTTTTTTTTCGAAACTTGAAATGCAGACTTGGCAAAGTCTGAAGGCCTGCTTGGGAGCCATACTCAGATATATACGAGAGAATGTGTAATTTTATGAGCTGCGTTAACGCGTTAGTTTCAAATGTACCGTGGTTACTGTACTACCGCCATTACAACTCAAACAACAATCTTGCCCAGTGTTGGTTATATATCTAAGAGCTTCTGTAATGAAATACCGGGAAACTATCTCAAGAGGAAACGAGTTAAGTTTGTACAGACTATCAAGCGACGCATCTGCCCATTCTGGTCGTAACAGTGACGTTATGGATCGGTTGGCTAACTGTTGTCATCGTATGTAAATGTGTCTTGCATTGCTGTCGGGGTGGATGTCTGTGTGTTGCATTGTTGTATTGTTGCGGGGTGGATGTCTGTATGTTGCATTGTTGTCGGGGTGGATGTCTGTGTGTTGCCTTGCCATGAGGGTGGATGTCTGTGTGTTGCATTGCTGTCGGGGTGGATGTCTGTGTGTTGCATTGCTGTCGGGGTTGATGTCTGTGTGTTGCATTGCTGTCGGGGTGGATGTCTGTGTGTTGCATTGCTGTCGGGGTAAATGTCTGTGTGTTGCATTGCTGTCGGGGTGGATGTATGTGTGTTGCATTGTTGTCGGAGTGGATGTCTGTGTGTTGCATTGCTGTCGGGGTGGATGTCTGTGTCTTGCATTGCTGTCGGGGTGGATGTCTGTGGAATGGCTGTCTGTGGCGATTGGATATTGTCGGAGTATTCGTGCAGTTAGTTCACTCTCGACACCTTCACTATACAGTAATACAGCACAAGAGGATACCTGCATTACACCTGGGAAGTTTACACCATCGTTACATATACATCAACACACCGTCACCACCATCTCGACCATCCCTAAAGGGGAGATCTCGACCGTCACCACAAAGAAATCTCGAACATCACTAAAGCCGAAATCTCGAACATCTCTAAAGGGGGAATCTGTGCTATGACTATGGAAATGAGCACTGTTTCCGCCAGTAACCGACCCAGTTCATCCACATGTATTGTTACCACATACCACACCCAGACTTTCGATATACAACATATATGGTGCATATATAATATATACTAATCATCTTTGGTCAATATACAATATATACTTGTCCATATTTGGTGCATATACAATATATACTTGTCCACATTTGGTGCATTTATGATATATATCGAGGCCGATACTTGCTCATATGTGTACATATATAATATAGTGATTATCGCTGGGCAATTTACAATACACAATTGCCATGTTTGGTTCATTCATACACGCAGTCATACTGTCCATAATTTATTCGTTCCCATTTTTTACTTTGTTGATGCATATATAACAGTCCATCTTCGGCGCATATGCAATATGAACGAATACTCATTGACGCAATGCTATGTAATACAATGTAATACAATGTAATTTCACTGCCTGATAAGCTGACATTTCAGAGACGACAAGCACCCTCAGTTCCCAGTGTTACCCACCCGTATTCAGCAGTCACAATGGCCACCGGCTACGGGTGCATGACTCCGGCCTAGCTTTTGAATCCAGGGGCATACATCGCGAAACTCAGTCAACTTGTTCGCGGCTCATTAGGAACAGGCCATTATATATTCAATTCAAAGCGTGACACTTATTTTGAAAACATAACTTATTTCCCTCAAATACTTGGGTTTTTTGGTTTTGTTTTGTTTTGGGTTTGTTTGTGTTTTGTTTTGTTTTGTGGGTTTTTTGTTGTTGTTGTTGGTGGTGGGGTTTGGGTTGTTTTTGTGTTTTTGGGGGTGGGTGGGTTGTTGTTGTTGTTTTGTGTTCAGTTTGTTTTGTGTTTGTTTGTTTTTTATTATCTGTTTGGCCTCGGGTTTTAGACAAGATTCCTCTACATAATGAGTCATATTGTTTGACTTGGTGAAGTGCGGACCTGTGACTGGTAGTGTGACATTGGGCAACAGATAGACCACCAAACAATAAACAGCCATCACATCTCACTGCATGGGATGAAGAGGTGCCTTAATATCTTATAGTAAAAGGACCTTGCGTCAAATGTTTCACTGTATTATCGATTACGAATCACAATTAACCGTAAAATTGGGTGTTTCCTCGTCATGCATTAGACAGAGCTGGCGAATGTCGCGTCTGTCACTTCCGATTGTTTTCCGTGCACAGTGACATACATCTGAGGATACTTTCGCGAGCAGCTATATCTCAGGAGGTAACGATCGGTTAATTCCAGTCTTCCTCAAAGCATTTAAAAACATGTTCAACAAAAGGACGCCTTGATGTATTGTAACTATGGTTAATGGACGAGTGTGTGGAAGCCGAATTCAATGTCTACAGACAATAGAAGATCCCAATTTGTCGAAGACAAAGCAGTATGTTGTGGCGATGAGCGAATGCAGTTGGATTCACCCGAAATCTCCCGAATGCCGTAATCCGGTGGAGGATCATTTTGTTCCCGAGACACTGACTGCCTTACATAAGCTATTTACAAGCTGTCACACCTGTGTCCGTTGGTCTGTGATGAAGGTCTATGAATTGGTGTTACGTGACCTCACTGAAACACACTTTCAAATCGGCGTTAATTCCATCTCACTGGGCGCAAGCCTTGCCACATCAGCGTATTCTGTAACAGGCTCTTCTCTCCAGCTGAACCATCATTGTGACGTCACGTTATTGTCATTGGGGCTGATTCTGTGCCAGGAATTAACTGAGCAGTCTGAGCTTGCATTTCAAACAACTGACGGAACCATATATGTCAACCATGATATGGTCTTGGTAATTGAGAAATCATTCGAATATAATTATTCCAAATATTAGAATCTACTCATCCTCTGGAATCGTTGATTCAACGTCCGCAACAGATTCGCTTCAGACATGCTTACGTTACCCACAAATCCCACTCACGAAAAAACTCCTTTTTGAAATCTACGGTGCGGGATAAGCGTCGTCGACACAATTGGAGAATTATAGGATAACTGATACCAAATACCACCTTTCACAATTACTGATACCAAATACCACCTTTCACAATAACTGATACCAAACACCACCTTTCCCAATAACTGATAGCAAATACCACCTTTCGCAATAACTGATAGCAAATACCACCTTTTGCAATAACTGATACCAAATACCTTTTGCAATAACTGATACCAAATACCACCTTTCGCAATAACTGATACCAAATACCACCTTTCGCAATAACTGATACCAAATATCACCTTTCGCAATAACTGATACCAAATACCACCTTTCACAATAACTGATACCAAATATCACCTTTTGCAATAACTGATACCAAATATCACCTTTTGCAATAACTGATACGAAATACCACCTTTTGCAATAACTGATACCAAATACCACCTTTTGCAATAACTGATAGCAAATACCACCTTTTGCAATAACTGATACCAAATACCACCTTTCGCAATAACTGATACCAAATACCACCTTTCGCAATAACTGATACCAAATATCACCTTTCGCAATAACTGATACCAAATACCACCTTTCGCAATAACTGATACCAAAAATCACCTTTTGCAATAACTGATACCAAATATCACCTTTTGCAATAACTGATACGAAATACCACCTTTTGCAATAACTGATACCAAATACCACCTTTTGCAATAACT